TTTAAGTACATGTATTTACGGTTTCAAGAAAATTCTGATAACGATCAATTAAAAGCGGATCGTTAATTTTACAGCTTGCAGTATTACACATCAGTTTTGGTTCATTGTTTAAGGTACATGTATTTATGGTTTTAAGAGACTTATGAGAACGGTCAATTAAAAGTGGATTGTTAGTTTTATAGTCTGAAATATTACACGACCAAGATTTTTTAGCTTGTTCTGTTGTTAATGGTAATATGTTTACTACTTTTCCTTTTTCATTCATTATCAAAGTTTTCAATGGATTTACATCATGATGATATGTAGACTCAATAAAATAATTTTCAGATGAGGCTGTATGTCTTGATTCGCCACATAGCGCAGTTAATTTGTCTTCGATTGTAGAACAATCTGCGACAAGAGTCAAATACACTTCTGATTTCTTTTTAATCAAACTTAACATTTTGTATATATTGCGAATATAATTTTTCCTAATACACATGCACCAACGTACAATTTTTTCTGCTTCTAATCGTTTTCAATATAAACCTTTAATATTGATTTTTTCAATAATATTTTTATAAATATTTCTGAACAATTACGAAGTTTTATGGTATTCTTCGAACAGAATTGTTTATACTTTTTAGTAATTTGTTTAGCAATATTAAAAGTTTTTATTTCAAATGTAGATTTTGTTTTGATTTTTTGTCTTTTTGTCTAATAATATCGCTTATTATAAAGCCATTTGCGATTAGAATCCAATCTTTTTTGTCTATCTCGTTCATATTCAAAGTTTTTTCGAATAACGCATACGCTTTTGTGCGCGTTTATTTTCTAAATCTTGTTCATATCGATATCGAACTTAATGCGTTCATCTTCTAAGTTACGTTGATATCGATTACGCTTTTTAGCGCGATTGTCTTCTAAATTTTGTTTATAACGATTACACTGTTTAGCGCGATTATCTTTTAAATTTCGTCTATATCGATTGCGCTGTTTTAGCGCAAATGTCTTCTATATTTTGTTTATAACAATCACGTCGTTTAGCGCGTATATCTTCTAAGCTCTGTTTATACAGATCGTGCTGTTCAATGCAATTATTCTTCGAATCTTGCTCATAAAAATCATGTTGTTTAGCCTGATTTTGTTCTAAATCTTGTGAATAGCGTGCACGTTTATTTACACAATGATTTTCCAAGGCATGCTTCTTAGTTTCTTCATAAATATCATTGTTTGTTTTCATTAATTATTTGAATTATTTTCTGTTAATTGAAATTGATTATTAATTAACTCTTTTTCAAGTTGGTAAATATGACGTTGCTCTTCTAACCGATTCAAATATTGTCGTTCCGTCTTATATTGACGTATAGTACGTTTACGAGATGCTTCAATCTCTCTTGCTTTTATTACTGCTAATGGAAGCACCTTTTGAGAAGCATATTGTGGATTTTGTGGAAAATGCTCAATAACATTAGATTCAAAAATCTTAATTAAATGCAAACGCATTAAACTATGATCATATTTTATTTTTTCGGGTTTAATATTGAATAACAATGAAATTGCAAAGGCTATTGCAAAAACTCCGCAATCGCTACTGTTTGGTTGGTATTGTACAGTAGGAAATGGATAGAATTTTTTTCGAAGTTATATGTTGGAAATAATCTTTTCAAGAATTGGTCATGATGTCTATGCAATTTTTATTATTTAATGAATCATAAATAAATATATTTTTTGTATCATAGTAACTGCACACCCAATGTCCATCTGATGGACCTGACGAACTATGTAATATTTGTATATGTTTTTTATCAATTGGCATAGGCTGAATCGTATCAAGAAGTTGTAATCGCCATGTTTCGACAGGTCTATAATCCGAAAAATTTTGTAATAAATAATCAAAATGTTCCATATGTTTATCAGTTAACCATTCACCTCGAACAATTATATTTTTATCCTCAGGAGATAAAATTCTATATATTTGTCTTTATAGACATTTATTATATATATATATTTTTTTTAAATATGTAATAATTATCGGCGCAAAGCAGCCACTCTTTATCGGTGCAAAGCAGCCACTCTTTAAAGGCGCACAGCAGCTCCTTTTCATAGGCGCACAGCAGCCTTGTATGGGCGCACAGCAGCCACTTTTTATAGGCGCACAGCAGCCACTCTTTATAGGCGCAAAGCAGCCACTACTTTTAGGCGCACAGCAGCCTTGTATGGGCGCACAGCAGCCACTTATTTTTAGGCGCACAGCAGCCGTTTTTTGAAAACACAACAGGCGCACAGCAGTATAATTTTTTTCTTTTCTTCTTTTTTATCTTCTTTCTTCTTTCTCGCTCTTCGTTTCTTTTTTCTTGATCTTCTTTCTTCTTATTGATCTTCTTTTCTTCTTTTTTTCTTTTGATCTTTTCTTGCACGTCTTCTAAAACCATAAAAAACTTACCTTTTATAAAAAAAGGTAAAAAAAGGCGACAAGTTTACGTGCTCATGTTGTTCGCGAACGCGCTGCGTGAGGAATCGCGCGACACGACAAAGATGAGTCACTTGTAGTATAAAGAAACCTTTAATATACGAATCTTTACTAAAATATAATGTACAATATTTAACAATACACGCACAAAATTACATAAAGTTTAATTAGTTTCAGCGGAGAAATCAATCAAAAGAAAGAGCGGCGGTTGTCGATATAAATGTTCTGCGGTTTTTTTTAGGCGGTTTTGACTTACGCGTACACGGCGGAAAAGCGATAGGCCCCTACGCCGGGGTGAGCTCCTCTTTTATAAATTTTGGAGCGGAGCCCACCTTCGCGTGAAGCGCCAATAATTGCGTGATTTTTAAAGTAGCGCATGCTCAATAGCATGTAATTATTCGGCGAACGGTTGCGACACCGTTACTTGTTGTATTTTTGAGCGTTTTTTTATGTGACGCAGCTGTAAATTTACGACTTCTTTTTATTCTATTATACAAAACAAACGTGACTTTATTATTACTGATCGATGATTCCAGAATTTACCAAATAACTATTTTCGAGATCGAATTTTGTATAAATTGAAAATCCTAATAACGTTTTACTGCCGAAGTAATTAACAGACGATAAGATTTATTTTGCATCTCAAACATCCCGCCCGCCTTGGCGCAACGTGACAAAAGGTTGATGATGTTTCCGGGCGGATCACATTCCGATAGCGGTTGATGGTGGGGCGGGCTCGTGTCGGCGCGGCGAAATTCACGTGATGATCGCGTGTGTGAGTCGATCAGCTGAGTCGACGAAAACACGTGGTGATCACGTGCGCGAATCGATCAGCTGAAACGGCGAAAGCATGTGGCAGATGTGAACGGCGAGTGAATGATGCAGTGAACGGTGAACGGTGAAAACGAGACAAGTGTTATAGTGAGGTGATGAGTGAAATGAGTGAAGTGTGACAGTTGATATGGTGCATGACGTGATGATCGTGTAGTGAGTGATGCTATGTGTCAACGTGCGGTGTAGGAACGTCGTTCACGCCCGGAAGAAACACGAGCTTGACGAGTGGGCGCACGAGCTCGGACGTGGCCGTTCGGATCGTCACTACGCGTGTAACTCCATCGTCCCCGGGGTGCAAACGCGATATGCGAGCGAGGGGCCAGCGGTTCGGGGGGGTGATCTCGGAGCGAACGAGGCAGAGATCGCCGACGTGGGGTGCAGGTGCATCTTGAGCCACTTGGTGCGTGGGGCGAGTCCGTGCATGTATTCGGATGACCATCGCTGCCAGAAGTGATCCCTCATCCGCTGCAGATGACGCCAACGTGACAAGGTGGACACCGTCTGCTCTGTCAATGACGGTTCTGACAAGGCGAGGAGCGGTGTCCCGATGAGGAAGTGACCGGGGGGTCAGCGCCGAGACGTCCTCTGGATCATCTGAGAGTGCCTGCAACGGACGTGAGTTAAGACAGGCTTCAATTTGTGCAAGGAGTGTGCTCAACTCCTCGAACGTGAGGGTGGTCGCGCCGATCACCCGACGGAGGTGGAACTTGGTCGACTTTACGGCGGCCTCCCATAAACCACCAAAATGCGGGGCCGCTGGCGGGTTGAAGTGCCAGCGGATTCCTTGAGCGGTGGCGGCAAGGATGACACTTTGACCTTCGGCTGTCGCTGCGTTGAAGAGACCTCGCAGCGTCCGATCTGCTCCGATGAAAGTCGTGCCACAGTCGCTGTAGATCTCAGCACACAGGCCCCTGCGGGGAGACGAAGCGGCGCAGAGCGGCGATGAAGGCCTCCGAGGTGTAGTCTGAGACGACTTCTAAGTGAACGGCCTTTGACCAGAAGCAGACGAAGACTGCGATGTACCCCTTGTGCGCACGGTGTCCACGCCCCTTGCTGGTCCGGAGGAGGATTGGTCCCGCGTAGTCCAAGCCGGTGCTGAGGAACGGTCGAGTTGGCGTTACTCGCTCCCGAGGAAGGTTACCCATCGGAGGCTGTGGTGTGGCGGCGCGCCATCGAGTGCAGGTTATGCATCGGTGTAGCTGTTTGACGGTGGTCCTTCCTCGAGGCACCCAGAAGCGCAGGCGGAGCAGGCCGAGAGTCAGTTGCACACCTCCGTGCAGCGTCCGTCGGTGGCAGGAATCGATCACCAGCCGAGTCAACCATGATGCCGCCGGGATGATCATTGGATGTTCTCGTCGAGTGGTAGCTGAGCAGTTTGAGACGTCCTCCGACGCGCAGCACGCCTTGATCATCGAGGACCGGACTCAACATCGCTAGGTGGCTTCGTGGTGGGCTAGTGCGTCCAGCAGAAGCCGCAGCTACGTCCGTAGGAAAGTGGAGCGCCTGCACCACTCGCAGCCATCGAAATAAGGCGACGTCCAGCTCGTCCGGATGCAATGGACGGCCAGGTATGGCGTCACGTCTCGCCTGATTGAGCCATCGCCGACACCATGCCGTAACCCGCAGCAGCCTGTGCAGCGTTGGAAACCGGAGGGGAGAGGTCAGGTTCTGCCGAGACCGGTGCCTTGATTACCAGACTGGTGGCTCGCTGCTGCGGGAGGTCATCCTCTGGGACGTCGATGTTTGAACCCGGCCATGCAGTCTCGTCTCCTGAGAGCCAGGTAGGTCCTGTCCACCACAACTCATGATGATTAATTCAGCAGGAGAACACCGCGCGATGCGCAATCTGCAGGATTCTCTCGTCCAGCGACGTGTCTCCATTGAGCGTCTGGAAGCAGGGTCTGGATCTGAGATACTCGGTTGGCGACGAAGGTTTTCCAACGGGTGCTGTGTCCGCGGATCCAATGAAGTGTGACCCTTGAATCTGACCACAGATGCACCGGCGTCGTTGTCAAACCGAGAGTAGCGCGCACGTGGAGCATGAGCGTGGTAAGTAGAGCTGCTGCACAGAGTTCCAAGCGAGGTAACGGACCCACCTGCTTGACAGGCGCGACCTTCGATTTGCCATCAATAGGTTGATTGACGTTTTTTCTGTTGCAGCGTTGCGGATGTACACCACGGCGGCGTATCCTCGCTCTTGAAGCGTCGGCAAAACCCATGGAGCTGCAGTTGCGAAATGGTCGTCTCCGGTGTTGAGCCAGCGAGTTACACGGATGTTATCCAATAGAGGAAAGCTGATCCAACAACTGCCTCCAGCGGTGTGCGTCCTGATCAGGCAGCGGAGAGTCCCAATCCAGCCGTTGA